CGTGTGGAGAGTGCAAGACGGGACTGCCGTGATGCCTATAGAGTGATGCTCCCTCACGTGCCGGTTGGGCCTTCAGCCACATCATACCACCCCCGTGCTATGCTATGCTATGCAGAACGTCAAAGCTGACCTAACGGGGCGTACTCTTCCGCCAACCTAGCATTGGACATTGACATACTCGTAACCATGTCCTTGCAGCTTGCGTGTCCTTGTACGAGTAAGTAGGGTACCGTGAGCAGATCAGTCATGCACACTGTCGTACCGTGTCTTGCCTTGCCTTGTTTCGTGGTGCTACAATGAGGGAAGCTCGTTCGGTGATCAAGAGGCCAAAGTTCGCATACTAACCACAAAGCAGTACGTCGTACACGGTAGATGCATTGTTGTTTCACGTCATCGGGGTTGCCATGATGAAAAGAGAATGGACGTGGTGAAGCGAAGGATATCTTGTCTGCTATTCTCTCTAGTACTGTATCCACACCTGGCCACGTACAATACACTAATTGCAGACCAGACGAGTGCCGAAAATGGACTCCGTACTGCAGATTGGTCTCCTTCTCGCTTTTCAACACGCACTCACAGGGGTTGCCAGCATCACCGTGCCGTCGTTGTGTTTAAGTCCGTGCTTGCTAGGAGTCCTGGTCCCTTCCTGCCATGATGTCCTATCGAGGTGGATGTAGATGTGGCTGTTCTATTCTCTGATGGACTTCGTCACCACCTTCCTGCACGCATCCCACCGTCTCTGCAGACAAAACCCAAGCAAACACTCTCTGCTGGGCCCTTCTAAAGCTCAGTAACGCTACATGCATGACAAGACCGTACTCCCTGCTTGCCTGATGTCATGGCCGATCGTAGATGGCCGGCTGGCATGCGAGTATCCTCTGAAAAAGGTCCAGAAAGAGTACAGGAGTTTTGATGACCGCTATCTTGGAAGGAAAATTGACGGCGGCGCAGTAGTCGTGCCCGATTCTCGACCGTGTCCCCTGACAGCCGCACCACCAGTGGCCCCCAGCTCCTCTCATCGTTGCTCCGCGCTCAATCTCAGCTCGGCCGCATCGAAACTTCCTGTGCACTTGTTGCTCGAAACCCCCAGCTTGCAAAAGCCAGAAAGCGTGATGGTCAAGAAGTTGGGTGTCCAGGCTAAGTGTGGAAGAAAGGCCAAGGAACGGTTGGAGCTTGTCCGAAGCAGTGGGGAGGATGGGAGGACTTCGACGCTGAGTGTTGGTTTGGGCTCCCGCATACGGTTCTTATTGACCATCAATAGCAGTCGCAGCATGCCGTCCAGCGCCCTAGGAGTCTCGACTAGGAACCCTGTCGCGGCCTTTAGAACTGTGTCCGCGCGAACTTCGTCCAGACCTTTTGCTCAGGGGCGAGATGGCGACTATAGACTCCCCCGACCTCTATCTCGAAGGATGGGGATAACGTCGGTACGCTTGGATTGCTGGAACGGTATCGGCTGTCTTAACCAAGACCGCTCAACAATCTGACATTCTCCTGAGACACTGTCGACAAGGACCAGGAGCCAGCACCCTCCCCCGGATCCGCGTTCCCGGGATGCACTGCGCAAGGCTGGGAAGTGGCTTCAGTGGAGTTTGGATGGTCGTCATCATGGCAATTAGCCATGGTAGTGGATACTACCTGTAACTCTTCTAAGTAATGTCAACCTCGATTGTTCCGACAATTCCAAGACAAGTCTAGAACCAATTTTGGACCCGGTACAGTATTTCAAGAGTCCATTACTGTCCATAATTTGAAAATCATCTTGTCCGGAAGGGCAACCCTGTAATAGCAGAGGTCTTGGCCAGGAGATTTCGCTGTATTTCCAAGCGCGCGACAACAGTGCACTCTCGGCGTCCAGCCAAAGTACAGATCTGGTTTACCGATGTCGCAAAACAGCATGCTGCGAGAAGTGAACGACTGACAGGGCCGAGGAGACGCAAAATGGCGGGAATAGGGGAGATATAGGCGCTGGTTAGTCCGTCTAATTCTAACGCTGGGTCTCTTGCCGTGGGTCTGCACATTTGTGAAGATGAACAAAGTATAGCTCGAAGCAGCTGATTGTCTAAGGAACTAGAAGTGCCGGGATCGTGTAGCCAGCTCTGGAATGTGGACGTCCTTGTTTAGCGCTTTACAAGTTGTTGATGGGTCGAATGAGAACCGATCTCATGTTAAGATTCGCCTGAATGCGTCGTCCAGCGGTCACCAGCCACGCCATCTCGCATAGATATCAACAACCTTGTCGGGAGAATCCGTGTTGGAATCCACGACAAGATACCACCCAAACATTGCAAGAGTGATGCAGGCGTGGTTCGGCCAGATGCGGATCTTTTGTCCGTATTCGAGTGGGAGGTGCCGTTGAACGCTTCCTTTCTCAAAAGCCAAGATGCCATGCTCCTGACTTATGCGGCTGACAATTATACGCTCATCTTTCTCAATGCTGTGGTGTTTCGGCATATTCCATGGACTGACAACGCCCCAGCCATCGTAGTCTTTGCAAGGCTCCCTGGCCAGTGCGAGACAGCCTGCGGATATCAGAGCTTCGGGCCGCTCGGTTCGATTGGGATAAAGAGAGCAGACTTCGGCGAGGACAGATACGCTAATGGTGTCGTGCGGATCGGTGGTGAAATGACGGCTGGACGCGCACACTTGTTGCATATCAAAGATTGGATACACGCCGGCATGGATCTCCAGCTCGAGGTTAGACTTGGTCAATTGCAGCGTCTCTTTGAGAGCGCTGGCAGAAGCAGTGGAGGCCGACGCCGAGGGTAGGATGTTCTCCAGAGAAAGAGCAGTTGGCGACGCTCCCACCGAAACCAGAAGCGGCGTCTGTCGACTTCGGCTGAAGTGCTGAGAAGCTTGCCTGCAGACGTCAATCTCGACCTTGAGCATGTCCATGGCATCATCTGGTGAGCTGCCGCCATAACTCAGGCTATTGTGGGAATAGAATCCGAGGAGAGCCAAATCACCCTGCTCCTCCGCGGTGCCGACCCTCTGAACCAGGTCCACCATCTCATTCGAATCGGGAGCCAGACCTGCCCTGTGGTAGCCTGCGTCTGTCTTGACAAAGACCAATGCAGGGAAGCCGGCCTGTTCCTTGAACTCTATCAAGCACTTCAGCTGCGCTGGATGGTCGATCATGACAGCGATCGACCCTCCACCAAGCTGAGCAGCCACGGCAGCAAGCCGCTGGACGTGTGAGGGCCCAAGGGGAACGCCATACAAGATGTTGATCTTTGCATTCCGGCGTTTATATTCCAGCATCAAGGGCACCAATTGCTCCGCTTCGATGATGGTTGACACGATGAGTCTCACATCTTTGCAGTCTTCGCCCACCTGTAACCGGGTGATCTCTGCTGTCTTGTGAGTCTTGACATGGGCTCTGAAGCTGAGCTGCAGCTCTTTGACAGCATTGAGCATGGCAGAGCAGTTTGCCTTTACCTTTGCAATGTCGATCACGGCCGCCGGAACAGGGACATCGTGCAGTGACAAGTGCTGATATTGCTGCAGCAGTGCTTCTTTAGGCGACAGAGGATACGGTGTTGGCGACATTCTTAATGGTTCTGGAGCTCAATATCAAGTCCTGGGCTCCGTCGGATTGTGAAATCCAAGAGAGATGAACGGTGTTGGACGAAGTCGCTGGAAGTCCGGAGTACGGTTGGTTTGCCGTGATGTGCAGCGGGCATCAGCGACGCCGGCCTTCTCCTGGACGGGCGTTATGGGCGTGATGGGCGTGATGGGCGTGATGGGGGCCGCTGGGCCGCCAAAGCAGCGGCTTCTCGCTTGGATCGCGCCCGAGATTCGGAGCGGGGCGCTGCCAATCAGGCTCCCAGCAGTGGTGATTCAAAAATCTCCGCAGGCAATCCACCACAGCACGACGGACAGTGAGATTCAACATTCTCAACAGTGTCCCACGCATCCTTCTCGCGGCCGTTGAATGTGTACTCTCCGTACCTGTATACTTGGCTTCTCTACGGAGTATTCCACCAGAGCACCTGACTTGCCTTTAGACATCAACATTGGCCAAGATCGAGCCGTCAAAGATCGCCGGCAAGCTTCCGCCCGTCCCTGGTCCCCCGGTGGATTCCAGCAATTGATGAGCTGCTTCCTTAATTTCTTAGCTTGATGCCGGGCAATTGTCGCACCTATCGCAGCCCATGGCGAAATGCATGCTGGGTTTCACCATCACTCACGCACATGGATCTGGCCAATCCTGGCTCTGCTGGGATTGTGCCTCCGTTGCTTTTTTGGTCCTCGAGCAGTGCGCGAAGTCCCACGCTGCTCGTGAATGCTGAAACGATGAGAACCCGGTTCCAGACACGCCCACATGGCGCAGTCAGGCCCTCAAGATCATGCTCGGCCAGCCGTAGGCATTTCCGTGAGTAGCGGCTTGACATAGATTTGCTCATGCTGATGGTAGACAGTACTTACCACACCTGCTACCCCGTCTCCCCTTTCAGTGGACGTTCTCTGCGTGCACGCCGACTTGACCACGGGTTTCATTTCCTCGCGTCCGTCCGTCTTGCCCACACATTGGAATAGATCAGCACGTCTGATGCGGCTCTAGTCCTGTGTCCCACCGATACTCCAGGTCTCCGTACCCGGCAAGAGCACCGACCACTGCCTACCGAGAGCCTGCAATTGCTCTATGCCATAGTTGAAGCACCTCTACGCGTCCAAGCCCTCTTCCATCGCCCCGAATAATTGTCACCGCCCTTGCACAACAGCTGAGACGTGTGAGCTGGATTGGGTTGCACACGCCTTTTCCAGCTTTTCAACCTGCGACTCCGTCTCCTCAGGCCCATTGCTTCGGAACGTGTGTGTCTCAGGTCGGCAAAGAGGGGAGGTTAACGAGGAGACGATTGATATATGAGCGCTGTGGCTGTAGGGGCGACTCATTGTGAACATGAATTTTTGTGGAGGCAGGAAGGTTGCGGAAGGATAACTGTGACTGTGGGCTCGGATTGACATCTGTCTGCAGTGGAGCACTGGCCACGTCGCCCACAATGTCAATTGACAAGATCAGCAATGGGGGTCAGGCAATTGTGCGTCCGCCTTCACATCCGGTGCCGCAATTACAGCTGCCTTTCGAAGAGTCCATGATGGAGTCAATGAATGATGAGGTGGCCGATGACATACCTACCGACGCTATGGTCAGGAGGAGTATGCTCCTTGAGGCGCCTACGTATCAACGAGTTATCGCCGGCCGCTGGAAACAGAAACCCGGCGAAAAATATCACCCTTTGTGGAAACTCGTCGCCCAGTTGACCTTCGGCATGCACCTGTTGTCTCAGAACATGGCAATCTCGGAAGAGGAGGTGATGAGGATTTTGCAATCTCATGTGGATGATATCGACGCCTTCTTGGAACGCACCACGGAGGATTTTGACTTGGCACAAAGCGACATCCACGAGCGGATCCGGTGTCTAAAACTGCCCCTTGCACACGGAGACGTCTTTGACCGCATGCTGGAGGACCGCGCTTTCCGAGCATCGATTCTTGAAGGCAACGAGAAGATCGACCATGTCGTCAACCGAACCAAGAGAGCGGCCAAGGACGCACTGAAGGACGTGCAGAAAGGATTCGACGCGACCAACGTCATGGACAAATATCTCTCCAATTTGAACTCGACGTGGAAAAGAAACTCGCCTGAGCATGAGGCCGTCCTTGTTGCGATGCTTGGGAACGTTGAAGGGTGGCGCCGAGCCTTCCTGGAGTTGCATCTGCAAGGAAACAAGCTGGCAGGGTCTCTCAAGAAGCTCGCAGAGGTTGTCTCGGAGATGCAGCTACGAGCTGCAACGGTCAGCAGGAATCTTGTGGTAAGACTGAAATTTTTTGCTGCGCGTTTGGCTACATGCTCACTCTTACCAGGCTCGGGCTCAGAAAACCAGGCACATTACCACCCAGGCTGGTCGTGCACCATCCGCCCTAGGGCCCATCGCCGAACAAAAACCACTACCCACTGAACCCGGTCGACGACATTCGACCAGAAACTCATCGCGCAGCACACAACTCACCAGCTACTCCAGTCGACCGAACAGCGGCCAGAAATCCAGTCACGGTATGATCTCACAAACACAGTCTATGGGTCAACAATCACCGCAGTCCTCGGACTCCAGGAGGCCTGAGTATACCGCCCGCTCGTTATCATCCGGTTCGGCAGCTTTCGACAGCGCACAGCACGCCTCAGAGCGTATGCTTAGCATTGGAGGACTGCTCATACGACCTAACGAGGAACAGCTTATTGAACTTCCAGCTGACGTCCCCGAAGATGCGCTCCGGCAGGCGCCAGTCTCAATCAAGAATCGACTTAGTATGACCCTGGGTCTGAGGTCGAGGGACACAGCGAGCCATCGCATATCCAGTGTCTATTATCCACAAGCACTGAGCAATCTCCTGAAATCTCCTGGTATTTCTTCGTTGCTGCTCACCCCAGACGCCGGCATCAAAGGTACGCCGGTGCAAGCGCTGGTATCACCGATCATGTCCGAAGGTGAGGCTGGATTCTTCCTCGCCCAAGGGCAGAGTCCTTCGATCGGTTTCGTTACTCCGGAGAGCAGGACGGGTCTAAACTCTACCAAGGACTCTCCAAGTCCCCCCCGAACGTCAGCTCGTGCTTCGGTTCATGAGGCATCTACGCCAGCAACACGCCGCTCATCGCTCCGGGGTCCGGCCTTCACCTCGCATCCCGCTGTCATGGCCATGGCAGCGCCTCCTGTAGAGCTTCCTGCGCCTGTCACAGACGTTAATCGGCCCGCGGCACAGGAAAAACGGCCATCCTCATCCTCGTCCAGAAAAGGCTCTCAGTCCCAACTGTCAAGCCTAGGCGAGCCTGGACCAGAGTTTGCAGAAGCAGGAACGACGATATCAGCCTCAGTACCAGAGACCAGGATCCTCGTTGACACGTCTGTGGTAACGGTTTCAGTGGATCCCGCCTCCGCTACGGAAGAAACTTTTGCGGCGGCACATCAGAAGGTCGAACAACCAGAGTCGAGGGATGTGAACGAAGAGTCGACTTTGAGTCAAGCAGATAGCCAAGCTCAACAAAAGACGGCTACTGGACCTCTTCACCAACAAGAAACCATAGCAACGCCATCTGCCGGCAAGGAACTTGCCAAAGCGGAGATCGACGCAAATCCAGAGAGGCGCCTTGAGGAGCAAACCATGGTTCATGGTAACCTCAATCCCACCACGGAACCTGAATCGGCTCCAAAAGGGCCAGCTACCGAACGTTCTCCCAGCACAGACACATCTACAAAGTTCGTGGCCGAGTTGGAAGCCATTGTGCCCAAGCCACCTGATGTCAAGCCAAAGGAAGACGATGGGCCGGTGGAATTGGAGGCCCCCCATCAGACCTTCAAATTGCCTCCTAGGCCCATTGCGGCGAACGAGATAACAGAGAAAGGAGCCCCTCTCGCTAGCATTACCCAGCTTGACGACTCACTCAAGCGTCCAACAAACATAACCACCAAGGCTGGCATGAAACCCAAGGATTTCGGGGGTAGCAATACAGCGGAACCGATCCGGCCACTGAAGCTGAAACTGGCCAAGAAAGACGGCAAGATTGTCCCCGTCCAAGTTGGTAGTCCCAGTGGGACGCCGACTTCCGCTACAAGCAGTCCAAAGCTCAAGCTCAAGGTCGACCCAGTTGCGGAGATTATCGAAAATATCTCGTGGACTCCTACAAGCCCGATTCACTCCCGAGCTGCATCGAGCGCCTCCTCCAACTCGGCGCAACGCTGGTCTCATCGATCATCGCGGTCGCTTGGACCACCGGCACAGGCTCCAGCACCGCCGGCTCCTGGCGGACGACCCATGGTGGAACCGGATTTCGCGACGGCGGGCCAATTCGAGGGAGAACGCAAGCAGAAAAAGAAGAAGAAGAAGGATAGCAGCTCGAGTGCGGGGAGTAAAAGTGGGTGGAAAGCCTTCTTCCGACACAGTTCGGCGAATAGTCCTGGGAGCACTGGAGCGTTGGACGGCGGGGAGGGATCGTCGACGACAGCAGCGACTGCTACTCAGGCACCTACATCTGCTTCAGCGCCAGCCTCAGAGAGGGCACCGTCACCTGCTGCGGATATGATGACAACGTCGGGAAAGGATGTGCTCTGGTTTCGAGGTAATGGGAAGAAGACATTGTCTGCCGCCTGATGCTTTCCCGACGACTGGCTTTTATGCATTGGTGGCGTCGCAGACACTGGGACGGCGGAAACATGTGCTTCGGGAGATGCCGTTGTATTTAATGCATATGAAGCGGAAACTCTGCACGTAAGATGGCCGACTATTTTAATCAAACTTTTATCTCCTCTGGGCATTGGCAGCGAGGCCACTCCGAGCTGACGGTACCACATGCCCAGATATGAAATCTTGGAAGCGCAAAGCCGATCACCAGTCAGAAGGGGGCGATGCATCACGAGATGGAAAGTCGTGCTGCTTGCTGCTGAAGGGATGGTTACTTTGCAGTCTTTGTATGACTAGTACGACGCCCGTTCGGTAGCACGTCGTGAACTCATCTCTCGCTGGCGCATGACAATGACAGACCTCGCTGACCGGTGTGGATTACCTCTGTACGATGCACTCTGCCTACGGAGTGAAAATATGTACGAGCAGTGTACTCTATGTACTTGCGCAGCTCCAGATCGCTGTGTTAATTGATCTACGTGCGAGTACCTGTTCGGGAAGACCTAATACCCAGGCTCCGTGCTGGAAGAGTGACCGCCTTCGGCGCCCCATCCACGCCTGGAGGTGAATGAGGGGCTCCGAGTCGGCATGGCGGGCGGGCGAGGGCATAAGGCTAACAAGCCCGGGCGGCCAGGCTTTAACTACCGCTACTCGTAGACAGGCAGTCTGGACCGAATCCGATCCCTGCCTGTCGATTGGCTCCCGGGCGCGCCCACTTCATCCTCACCTTCGAGTCCCTTCGCACTTGCGATCTCCACACATTGCATCCACCGTACAAGCAGCCATCACCACCTTCTCCCCGTCGAGCTCAATTCATCGTCGCCTTCCCTCTCGGCCTGCAACATTTGGTGCCTATGACTCTCGCCGCCGTCGAGTGCTGTCACTACGCTCTTCCACAATCCGGATACCCCTACACTCGAGTTCCGATCCAACGACCCGTCCACCACCACCAGGCAACCGGTGAGACGACTCGGAGCAACCGAGCGGCGATGCTGGATCAGCCCCGTCTGGATATACCCGTCCACATCGAGGCTCGCTCTTAAGCCACATCTCCATCCTCCAAATACCTCGAAGGCCCTCAGCAGGTCTCATCAGCGAAGCGTACCCGGTGTCTTGGTCTCGACTCACGACTTGCCGACTGCGCCTCGCCTCACTTGAGCATGGTACTGGTAACATCTTGCGCCCGACGCATGGTGGACAAGCATTGCAGACAATCATGACTTGAAGACTTCGGCCAGAGAAACAAAAGGTTACATCAAGGTTATTGGTGGTGCGGATCGGCGAAGGTACGCATTTCTATCTGCGAGTGGGATCCATACCTCGGGCAACGAGTCTCAGAGCTTGAGGGTCTGGTGGTCAGCTCGAGTTATTCGCTGCTTTCACCTCGCAAAATATACTGCTGGTGGCTCGCGTTGCGGTCTTCCGTGCTGGGGCCGAGTCGTCGTGGTTTGTTGGTGCTACACCACGGGAGCGCCTGAGACATGGTTGCACAATTGGGACTGACGTTGTTGCTGTTAGGTATAACCTGTCCTTCTTGTCTTTCTCATCACCATGGCGCCCTCAAACAGCGAAATCGCACCGTGGGACACGAGATCTTCCCAGTCGACCCCGATGCCCCCCAAAGCCATGGCCATCTTTGGGACCAACGCGGACTCCGGTTCGGCCAGCCGCAAACACCTCCCGAGACCCATACAAGCCCCTGAGATTGCACCATGGGAGACTCGCCTTGCGCATGACGACGATATAGCTCCGTGGGAACGAGATCCTCAGGCCCAAATCTCAGGAAGTCGCTCGATGAACCAATCTTACTTCCCTGACTCTATTGGTAGATACGATGGACAGGCTTCCTCAAGACGTCCCGATACCGCTAGGACGAATATTTCAGATTCTCCAGACTACGATGGTGATGCACGTCGGCCGTCAATTGCCAGTGCTACGACGGTCAGTAGTACGGGCTCAAGAAGTAGCGCTGCAAATGGTCGGTTCCATAAGAGTTTGAAGGGCTTTTTTGGGGAGGATCCTACAGACTCGCGGAAGGGTTCGACGGCGAATCTGCCCGAACAACTGCCGCCTCCGAACTCGTCGGAGAAGCCGGCCCAGCGCAGTGGCTCGACGCAGACCCAGAACACGGTGGAGGATCGACCCAAGACTCCTGCTCCGCCGCCGTCCAGCGACGTCACCCCTTGGGCCTATCAGAACTTCGAGGATGTGTCCAATTTCGGGTCTGCTCCAATACGACAGGAGCAACAAGAGCAACAGCAGCCGCAGAATGACACTCTTGTTCCCAGCTCCTCTGCGTCATCTCAAAGGCATGGGCTGTTCCGGCACCGCTATACTAGAAGTAAAGAGGATCCGCCAAAAGGCCAGGCAGCTCCTACCTCAATGCCCAAGAGGCCTTCCACCAGCCGTGAATCTTCCACAAGCAACCTAGGTTTCTACCGCAACACCCCCCAGGCTACCACCCCCATGAGCTCCTCTACAGCGCTGGCCCGCAACGCCAGCCCGGCGCCCTCGTCGCGTAAAGAGACGTCCACGAAGTCAGAGAAGCGGGGGCTGTTTTCGAAGTTCACCAAGTCGCACAAGGACAAGCACTCGCCCCAGCCAGAGCCCACAAAGACCAATGTCGAGCCCGTGCGCCTGCCAGAGGAGCCGAAGAAGCCTAGAGCCATGTCAAACAAAACCGCCGCCTTGGACGCTGACAACAAAAGGGACAGAGAGACTAGTGTTGCCTCAGTCGATAGTGCTTCTACAATCAAAGCATCCGACCCTTCTCCGAAGCTCGATCGGACCCAGACAGCCTCATCCAAATCTAGCAGGTTCCACCGGACTAGGCATCGCGGTCCCAGCATTCAGAGTGAGACTTCGGACAAGGGCAGATCGACAAGTGGCCACCAAGGCCCACCACAAGCAGGAATATTCAGCCTGGACACCAACCTGGATGATATCTCGGACATTGTCTCTCAGCCAGGTGCGCCGAAAACTCCTGGAGAAGCCGGGATATGGGCAGGGAAAGCCGCAGCCACACCAATGTCGGAGCTGTCGGCGCCTGCTTGGGATGCGCCAGACAGTTGGGCCGTGAAAGGCCAGGAGGATGAGGTGCTCGATAGTTTGCCGGAGGCCACCGACGATGGCCTACCTGCCATTCAGGAAGAGGACGGCATCTCCTACTTCATGCGTGTGTTCAGGACAGATGGCACGTTTGCCACCTTGTCCATGTCGATCAATGCTACGGTTGGAGAAGTGCTTCAGTCTCTTGCAAAGAAATCCGTGCTACACGACTCGATAGACAACTATCAGCTTGTCATGCGAAAACACCAGCTTTCGAGGCAACTGGGCTCAGGAGAACGGCCCGTGGCCATGCAGAAGAAGCTCCTATACCTGGCTGGATACACAGAGAGGGACCACGTTGAGGATGTTGGCAGAGAAGACAATAGCTACCTGATCCGATTCACATTCAGCCACGAGAAGCAGACGGGCTATGGCAGCGGCCTTGACAAAGATCCGGCATTCAACAAGATGCAGAAGTTTAGCCACGTGGATCTGTCCGGGAAGTCACTGGTCACAATACCCATTATCCTCTACACAAAGGCATCGGAAATCATCTCGATCAACCTCTCCCGGAACCTTGCACTCAAAGTACCCAAAGACTTTATCACGGCGTGCATCAATTTGCGCGAGATCAAGTTTACCGGGAACGAAGTATGGCGGTTGCCTCCCAGCCTGGCTTGGGCAAGCCGGCTGACTGTGCTTGATGTATCAAACAATCGACTGGAACAATTAGAGCATGCTGAGCTGCACCGGTTAATGGGCCTTGTGAGCCTGAAGCTCGCAAACAACAAATTGTCGCAGCTGCCACCCAACTTCTCATACTTCCGGCAGCTTCGCAGCCTCAACCTCTCTTCCAACAACTTTACTACCTTCCCGGAGAACATCTGCAGTCTGAAGTCCCTCGTCGACCTTGACATCAGCTTCAACAAGCTTTCTTCGCTCCCCAAGATTGCACAGTTGACCACTCTCGAACGACTCTGGGTGACCAACAACGATTTGAAAGGCCCTTTCAACGAATCATTCAGAAGCCTGGTCAACCTGAAAGAGATCGACGCCAGGTTCAACGCAATCACAAACATCGATAACATAACGAACCTGCCCAACCTCGAACAAGTTCTTGTCGGTCACAACAGCATCACCACGTTCAAAGGCTCGTTTCCGAAGCTGCGTGTTCTGGTCCTAGACCACTGCCCGATCACGTCCTTCGAATTGGACCAACCCGTCCCTACGCTGTCAAGCCTTAACATAGCTTCAGCAAAACTCGTTGAGTTCAAGGAGACCATGTTCGACTACATGCCAAACCTCCAGAAGCTAAACCTGGACAAGAACCACCTCTCAAACATGTCGTCGCAGATTGGTCGGTTGACCAAACTGGAGTTCTTGAGCATGGCAAAGAATCCGCTGAATATCGTTCCGCCGTCCATTGGGAATCTGGGTGAGCTCAAGTTCCTGAATTTGAGGGAGTGCAACGTGAAAAGCCTCCCACCAGAGATCTGGTATTGCCGGAAGCTCGAGACGTTGAACCTCTCGTCGAACGTGTTGGAAACCTTCCCCAAGCAAAATGCAGCTCCACCGCCAAACGACCTCAGGGACTTCACGCCGACGGCAACTCCGGGGATGTCGACCTCTCCGAGCTTTGACGACCTTGGCAAGCTTGAAGACTTCCAAGCACGGCGACCGAGCCAGGCGTCGTCCGGTATGATGAGCATTGGTAGTTCGCCCGGTGGACGAAAGAATTCAGTTGCGTCGCTCAGTGCTCACCGGAAGCAGTCTGTCATTTCTAGGACAAATACGGAATATTCAATGTCGACTGCAACGAGAAAAGACTCTAATATCTCGGCCGCCAGGCTCCACAACACGTTTGCTGGGTCCCTCCGATATCTCTACTTGGCTGACAATCGCCTGGAAGACGACGTCTTCCG